TATACTTGTCACAGTTATGCTAAGCCAGGGGTGTCCAAACTCGGTCCTGGAGGGCCGGTGTCCTGCAGAGTTTAGCACCAACCCTAATTAAACACACCCAGCTAATCAAGCTCTTACTAGACATACTAGAAACTTCCAGGCAGGTGTGTTGAGGCAATTTGGAGCTAAACTCTGCAGGACACCGGCCCTCCAGGACCGAGTTTGGACTCCCTCGTGCTATAAGCTAAGCTAGCCATTGTTTTTATATCTCATGGAGAAGTAATTTGTGTGCATTTGACCTGTTTGTCTTTATATGACATCATTCTTTTGTCTCTTTTGAAGTCCTCTTGGAAACACATTGGACTCGAATAAAGCGCAAAACCGCACATCCAACATGTGTGACGCGTTTTTCATGTGGCGTGAAGACGCAGTGACACATGCCATCCTGACAATTGGACGCCATAAAAGCAGCAGATTGGTAGTCCTTTAAAGATTTTAATGAAGCTAAATCAAAAAATTACGGCCATGGTGACAAACAAGACCATCGTTTTATGCGGACGCTTCAAACACCCATCTGGTGTAACAGTGAGCTTGTTTTGAAGTGCGCTCTTAAAACTGTAAAAGAAGGGATGTCAAGGAACAAAGCATTTCTGTGGTTTGTTGGGTTTCTCTGATACAGATTTCAGTTAGTACAGATAGAATATCTATAATATTTTGATGAATTGTATCTTTTACATTTTGATTAAATGAATTAAGAAAGGAATGTGTAGTGTCTTTAAATGCAATATAAAGACATTATAGTAAATATTAATACAGATGAGTGACATACTAGTGCCATTAGCAGGAAGTACTGAAGAGTCATTACTTCATAAGTGTGTGTGCGTCCATCTGTGAGCCGCCACGTTTACATTTGTTAAAAAATCCCTACTGAAGACCTCACGTTTTGTCTCGTTGGAAAGAAAAATCACAGATGATCTCTTAATATCTCAGTTGTTTCTCCTAGGCAGATTATGGGGAGCAAATGGAGACTTTTGTTCAAATCAGATGATTCTCCTTATATAACATAAAGCTGGATGGTATACATATAATATAGACAATTGCAATTTATCAAAATAATTTGATTGTTTTTGTATTTTTATTTAAATTTTAAAGCCATTTTTGTGTAATTTAATGCTGTACACATCTGTAATGTCTTTCAATTGCCTTTATTTGAGGCCTTTTATGGACAATTGCAATTAATTTAATATTTAATTTTTTTTTTAATTTGGATTTAATTTGAATGCCTTTCTTAATTCTGTGCACATCTTTCTTTGAGGGCTTTTATATAGACAATAATTGCAATTAATTTGATTGCATTTTAAATTTGTATTAATTTTATTTTAATTTTATATTTAATTTTAAAGTCTAATTCAATGCTGTACACATCTGTAATGTCTTTGAATTTCCTTAATTTGTGGGCTTTTAAATAGAGAATTGCAATTAATTTGATTGCATTTTTATTTTATTTTGTTTAATTAATTAAATTTTAATTTTAAAGCCATTTTTGTCTAATTCAGTACTGCACATTTGCAACGGGCTTTTATATGGACAATTTATATATATACAAATGCAATTCATTTGATTGCATTTATACTTTTCTATTTTTATTTTACTAATTACATTTTTAATTCTAATTTTTAATTTTAAAGTAAGTCGCTTTTGTGTATTATTCAAAGCTGTACACATATGCAATGTCTTTATTTGAGGGCTTTTATATAGACAATTTCAATTAATTTGATACATTTTTTTTTTTTTGTACTTTTTAAATTTTTTTACTTAAAAATAATTTAATTTTTTTCTTTGATTTTTAAAAACATTTGTTTAGATATTTTGCATGTCGTTGATGTTATTTAAGGCATTTTCAAGCTGAAATTTTTAAGTAATTTTATTTAAGATGGCGACCTCAAAGAAAACTCTGCATGACTAGACTATTATTGCATACCGCTAGTCCCTGAAATTAAACTAAGTCATAAATCTAAAAACTCCTATTAGCTGATTGAATTGTTGGTTATCAGGAGTTGTAGGCATGCCAGCTGCTATTAACCACTGACAGGCACTGCCACACCACAAACACACACAAAGTACCACCCAAAACCATTGCACGCATACACAATACTATATTTCTTGTGTTGCCATGACAACGTTTTTCTTCTAAGAATGCTGAGTATTAATTCTAAGCTTTAAAGTATTAGCTTTTCAGAACATGCTTATTAAATGTACTCCATATAATCCAGTGAAATCATATGTGTAATCCTGGGCGGTTGCAGTGAGGTGTTTGCTTTTTTTACCACAAGGGGGAGTGTTGTTTTCTCATTACGCAGAGTGTCTCTCTCTGAAGCTGACCCTGCAAGCAAAAAATAAATAAAAAATATTTTTTAAACACATAATTGAATTAGACAAAGACTTACTTTTACTTTTTAAAAAATGTAAAAATTCAATCCAATTGATTGCAATTGTCTATATAAAAGCTCTCAAATAAAGACAATTTAAAGACATTACAGATGTGTACAGCATTGAATTAGGCAAAAAGAGGCTTTAAAATAAAAATAAAAAATGATTTATTTTTTTTGTAGTGCACTTATTTGAAATGCTCACTGTTTAGTTTTATGCAAATATGCATCTTTTCAATCTCTTTTAAACCACCAGTCTCTTATAAGCAGATTTGATGATTTTTCTCTTTAACTTTCTTAGAGGATATGAAAATAGACACAAATCAATTGAAACAAGTCAGTTGTTGACATACAGCGCTATAAAGTCTATGCTGATAATATAGCTCAAATAATTGTGCTTCTGCCAAATTTGATGAGAAATGTTCGGGTTCATTTTGAGTTTTGAAGACTTTATGATTTTGGGAACATTGTTGAGATCTATTTTGAAGCTGTAGAGGAGAAACATGTGAGACTTCAAATCTCTTTGCTTCCCATTTAATCTGAAATAGAAACGATTGAGATATTAAACATCTTATGGAAGTGCATCCTAAAAACCAAGCACTGTTTTAAATGCATTACTAAATCTAACGTTTGCATCCACAAAACATGTTTTTATGGTGGTACATTGCATGCAAATCTGTTAGTAAACCAACCACTGATTCAAATGCATTGCTTCATATATTGTTTGACACACACACACACGCACGCACGCACACACACACACACAAATTTTGAATATGTAATGCATTGCTAAATATAATGTTTGCAACCACAAGAAATGTTTTTATAGTGATACATTGCATCCTAATTTGTTAGTAAACCAACCACTGATTCACATGCATTGCTTAATATATTGTTTGGACCCAAAACCAATTTTTATTATGTAATGCATTGCTAAATATGACGTTAAAACCCACAAAACATGTTTTTATGGTGATGCATTGCATCCTCATCTGTTAGTAAACCAACAACTGATTCAACTGCATTGCTCTTTATATTGTTCACCCCCCCC